TCACTACCAATACCATTATACAATATATATAATTGAGGTTCTGGGTCATAAATCCGTCATCTATCTGTTAAATAACACGTTGGACGACTATAACATATAACCTCCATACACCGATTCAGAAATGAGGGTCTGGTTAAAACATCATCAAAACATATAAATCCACGAAATTCGTTATGATTGGTATCTACGAAGAAACATTGCTTATCATATAACCCCCATGTTACCGTTTTGTTCTCATATTAGAGGGTTTTCGGGTCCATAATCAATAAAAATAATATTGGAGTAGCTTGAAATTTAAATTCTTTATTCATATATATAAAAAGTTACTGAATATTATTGTAATTGGACAACTACAGCATATATCTCCTAAACACCAATTTGTTCACTTATGAGAATTTGGCCTAAATTCCGTCAAAAAAGCATTTATTAATAAGAGTTTTGATAGCACACATTCGTATCTACAAATAAACTTCGTCACCTAAATCACCCTACCAATTTTGCAGATATGAGAATTAAGGTATAAAGACGAAGGTATGACCGAAGATAGACCTTTTCTCTTGTTTTCCATTGCCTTTCTGATTAGCGATCAGATAATAAGAATTTATTTATGTAAAATTAATCTCAAAAATATCGAAATTAATTTTTGAAACTTCCTTTTGATAGAAAATATGTGTCAATTATGTATTGAATTGAAAAAGCCTTCGAATCCAATTGAAGTAAAATTACTATGAAAGTCATGTAAACAAATAATGAATTGAATTAACCTTTTCGCCGGTTTTGTCACAGTTTGGCAATTTACCGTTTTCATCCCGGCACCCTCTATATCTAAGACTAACTTTTTAGCATAGAAAAAACTATAATTACTTCTCTCTACAATTATATTTTAAAATCTCATATTTCCTAAATTTCAGCTGTCGAATAATTATTTTTTGCCCACCTGAACAGTTTTGAATCTCGACGCTTAAGAAACGCTTCCGAATCATGACTGGGCATATTCCGTACGTTATGCGGATGTCGCTCCCGTGTCGGGTGGAGGATATTCGTTGGGCTTATTATTATTATTTCAAAATACCATCCAACCAAGCATAATTTTTATATTTTAAATACATATTTATCGACTTAAAAAAAATTTTGTTTGTAAAGTAACAAGTTCTTTTGTTCTGAAAAGCAGTTCGTTAAGCTAAAAAACTGCTAATTATTTTTATCGTAGTCAAAAGTGCAAGGCTTTATTTCAATATCTATTCAATTGAACTATCACCCCAAGCATGTATAGCTTTAATGAATATGGATCGTTTAACAACCTCACATGGCATTAACAGTTTAGCCGAAGATCCGAATGTGTATATTTCTGGAAGTTATCAAGAGTTGGGACTTTCTCACAGCACAGTATGGTGTATTTTACACCTAAACTTACATCCACATCCTTATAAAGTCCAGCTCACACAAGAACTGCAGCGAACAGATCATTCATAACGCCGTATATACGTCGATTGCGAGCTTTAACAATAATGGACGGCGAGTTTTCGAATAAAACTTTCTTCAGCGGCAAGGCACATTTCTCACTCCTGGATATGTAAATAAGCAAAACTGTCTCCTTTCGGCTCCAAAAATCCTCAAATAATTGATGCGAGGCCATATCACCTCTTTCTCTGGTGCTCTCTTTCAGAGCTTATATAGCATAGTTGCCGGTTGCGTAATAACTCTTCGTGGCTACGTTGGACACCTTTTGTGAGGCTACGCGAAAGACCGTGTGCATACCAATAAATCTTTAATATTTGATCACTTGAAAATCAACATTCGTCAAGTTAAGGCGAAGGAATTGCTTAATGTGTGCTAAAAAATGGTCAAAAATTATTGCAAATGGATGGAAGTTTCGTAAAAGTGTGAGTTGGTTATTTGAATGATGTGATTCAAATATTATACCAATAATCAAGCTTTGTAATAGAAAAGAAATTTATTGAAAAAAATATTACAAAAAATACATTTTATTAGGTTTATTTTCGATGCCGACAAATGAAAAATTCAATATAAAATTCTAGTTTCATCCACAATTTGTAAAACATTTATTAAAATTAAAAAAAAAAAAAATAAAAAAAAATTGGAAAATATTGCAAGAATTTTAATATATATATTTTTTTTTTACCGAGAATTCAAATTATTAAATATATTAAAAAAACAGCTGACAAGTGACGTCTTTTTATATTCCCTTCTGAGGTCAGTGAAAACAATCAATTTTCACAAACTCATTTCTTCAACGCTTGAAAACGAAAGCAAGTATGGCCACAACGCTTTTGGCATGAGTGTTATTGCAGCGTTAAATAAATAAAATATGCTCACATTTTTTGACATACAGAGAAATACCCGTGAAATGAAATATTTGTGGATTAAAAAATGACAGTGACAAATCCACATATGTACAATAAAAATAGAATAAAAGTAGAATGAATATGGTAATATGCATAATTTGCACTTTATTTTTCCTCAAGAACTGGTTCGCCGTTGACATTCTTCAAAAGAAGTAATTTATGTGATAGCAATAAAGTGTTGAAACTACGATAGTGCATTAAAAATATAAAATATGAGAATAAAAAAGCATTTCGAAAAAGAATCCGTATTATTTCCTGTTTGATTTTTATTTTATTTTATTTTACTTTTTTTAACTGTTATTTATGAAAAAGAAACATTTGCCGCAAGAGATTGTTTAATTATTCACGCCCACTTTTCATCAATGGAAACAATTGTGTATAAAGTGCACATTCTTTTTAATAAATAAAATTAAATTTTATTTTTTTTTGAAACAAACGAAAATTGATAAAAATATGATGAAGTGGGAAGGTTTCCGTTTTAACTTTTGACACTTCATATTTTTCACTTAGTAGAAATAAAAATCGTGAATAAGATTAGTGCTTTCGTTTTTAATTTTTCACTCATAAGTAATCTCAACATAGAGTAGGCCTCTTCCCAGTCCTAGCTGAAAGCCGAAACGAGTGCAAAGCTGATGCTGAGCAGCACTGACCAAAATTTGGTTTAGTAGAGTAGAGACCAAATTCAGCGTTGAAAAAAATGTCCGTGAGATGAACAGTACAGCGCATCAAGCTCTGTAAGAGCAAGAGTACATCCGCTAAGATTTATTGAATATATGTATGTACTGCCATTCTGAACGTCAGAGTTCAGGTCCTGGTCTGGCAAAACATTCAAAATTAAAGAAAACTCCGAGTGTATTTTTGTCATGAAATAAAAAGCCCCTCTTAAAAATCCATCGGCCTTTCGAAGGCGGCCTAGAATAAGCTGTAGGTCCCTTCATTTCTTGGAAAAAAGTAAGACATACACCACGCATTGGAGGAGGAGCTTGGCTGAAAATCGCTTCAGCAGTTATAAAGCGCCAGCGCCAATTAAGATTATATTTTCGTAAGGATTCATTTGAAATAAAGTAAACGATACTAATAAATTTAAGTAATGTCCCAGGCCATCGCAGTTATGATAAAATACTGAAATGCAATCCGACTTTACGACTGGTTTTCTCACTTTGTGCTCGGTTGCACTCGGCTTCCACTTTGGTAATATTGATTTCTTTGCATACTCCGTCAGAAAATTAACTGCTTAGGTCTTGTGGTTTCTCCTTCGGCCATGTAGCTACGATAAATTTTGCAGCAACCCATTCTTTGAGCATGAAATCCCATTAAGACGTATCCCAGCTGTAATGCAGACGGCGTACCGGTTCCGAAAAATCATATTTCTTGACCTACCAGCGTCTAGCTCTGGTCAGACCTGCCTTGTTACCTTTCAAGTGGTTTCAGTGCTCCATTTGATCTTGAACTCGTTAGTGAATTTTTGTAGAGCTCGTATTAACTGAGATGGTTCTTTTTCTAGCAAGCCGGGCCGCCGCACCGTGTCTTCGTATGTCCCTGTTCCAAATACCCGTGATTTGCAGCAAGTTCAGCTTGAGTCCGAGTGGTGCTGTGGGGAGTGGAGGCTATGCCATTTACTTATTCGCAATTTCGGTCCAACTGCAACGCAGTTCACTTGAAGTTTGCTGATGAGATTTAGTGAAAGAAAAATAAATGCATTTTTAGTACCTTCGTGGGAGTCGAATGCCGGCCATCAAACGGTAATGCCTTAAAACAGTATGGGACTGACTACCGCTGTGTATATCCAGTAGACACAAAAGATGCGGACATTTTTTGTTCCTCTACGGGTTAATCAGATGGCATTCAGCGTTTCCAAAATCATTGGGCTCTTGCTGTGCCCTATGTCGCCTGGCGGAGGGACATTGATCTAAGGCACTTTCCGCAGCAGAGGACTTAGAATTCCGTCAGGAGCTTTGGCTTTCTTTTCCTCTTGCATTTGATTTTTTTAATTTCACTTTTTTCTGCAACATCTCGTGAAGGGTATCTAAGATTTTCCATTAATTCTTTTCAATTTTGTATATCACCCTGTAGCTGCTGTATTTATTTCAAGGCTAAACATTTTAAATGCTTTCAGCACAGCTTATAATGACAGTCATAAAAATACTAAGCTAAAAATAAGTCTAAAAAAAATTTCCAATACCCACTTTCTAGCCATTAGAATTTGTTAAATTGTTGATTAATTTTTAAAGATTTAATTAACGGTGTTTTTAGTGCAGGCTGCGTTTGCTCTCGTTTTAGATTGTATCTAATTTAAAGCAATATAAAAATAAAATTCTAATTCTTTTTTGCACTGATCAGCAAGTTGCACTTATTTTGTTGCTGATTATGCATATTTCCGGTTTTGAGTGAGCACCTAGAGAAGCTTGTCCAGAGCTTAGCTATATTTAAAATTTTATTTCAAACTTATTATTGTTGTTTCTTTTTGTATTCTTCATTTAGTTGTGATGTTTCTCCCCAATTTTTATTGTTCTCATATATTTTAGATTTTTTTTTAGTTTATGACAAATCTGCTTATTTTGCTTGTATATATGTATTTTGGTATAAAAATGCAACTCTTAGTAGATGCAAACATCAGTCCTTCGACACTTGTCACAGAAATTACTGAGCTACAGCCAAAATGAAATTCTTTGTGAGTATTCATGTTAAAGAGATTGAAATAAATAACGGAATATTTATTCAAAAACATTTTTCTTTAAATTAACTACAGATTGCATTCGCTTGCCTATTGGCAGTTGCTTTCGCCAACGAGGATGCTAATGTGCTTAAAAGCGAACAAGCAGTTGAGCCTGATCAATTCCAATATGTGCTGGAACTCGACAATGGCGTGAGCCTACAACAGCAGGGTCGCTTGGAGGGTGATGATGTCTGGAAAGTCGATGGTTCTTTCAAATTCATTTCACCTGAAGGCGAGGAAGTCAGTTTGGCTTATAATGCTGATGAGACTGGTTACCATCCAGATCCCAACAACAAATGGATCCACCCAATCCCAGCCCCTATCCTCAAGTCTATTGAATACATTAAGAACCATCCAAGCAAGGAATAAGCTACACATATTTGTAGTGAAATTTTTCGTTTCTTTTTATTTGCCAATGAAAATGCATGGACAAATGTGATATAACAAGAAAAAAGTGTTTCTTTTATTATTTACATATAATATATGAGCGCTTGGCAAAATTATTGTTTTTTGGAATTTAATTTCTTTTAAATTTACATTTACATTTTTATTTCTTTTGTGACAAATTTCTTTAGGAGCGTCTTACCTTTGGGGAATTGTTACTTATTAGACTCGTTATTAAGGATGATAGGAAGAGTCTCCTGTAGAAAAAAATTTTTAACCAAAGTAAGATCATATTTATATTATTATTTTATTCTGACCTTTTGACTCTTTTTTCATTTGTATGCCCGGAAAAATTTAGGAGCTAGTTCGCCTTAGCATTTTCATTGATCATCTGTGAAGTATACGCTAATATTCAGCAGTCTCCCTTATCTTGCTGCCAGATATTGTTCGTTGCTTCTTGGAATTACTAAATCTCATTCTGAAAAGCAGTTCATACTCTTTCTGCATGCCACCATAGCAGAAAGTGATATTACTGTGTATAAATAACCCAAAAAAATTCATTTTTTCCAAATACTAGTATATGTAGATCTGTTTCTTTTTGTTCGGTGCCGAGTTTTTGTTACTGCATGACTTAGATTCATAATAAATCTACAACTTCCTTCGATCAAAGCCACAACTTCACAGCCTAAACGATAACAAAAATCCTCTGAAATCCTCTGAAATGTAATTTGTGTCGAGACGGCAGCATAAACTTAATCTGTATTCCATTGTTTCGTTCAACCGTCCTCCATTGCCCACTAGATGAAAGCTTATATTGGGAATGCTGAAATCAGAAATTTTACTTAATTTCAAAAAAAATCTGTTGATTTTAGCGCGTATTATTTTTGAACACTATTGTAAAGGTTGATTTTTTAGGAGCTTTAGGAAAGTTTTTCAATAAAAAAAAACATAAAATTCGGGAAAATGCATGAAATCTTTATTTGAATCGATAGACCGTCCATATAATTTGTTGTTTGAAGATTATTTCATGCAAATGTTGACGGTGACTGCGCCTCAAATGGTCCATCCGCTTAGTCCAATTTTGGTATACTCTTTCCAACATTTCGGTATCTCACGAACAAATGCTTCAATGTTGTCCTCCAAACGTCAATGGAGGCAGACTTCTCTGTACAGACATTAGATTTAACATAGCCCCACAAAAAATAGTCTGAAGGCGTTAAATCGCACGATCTAGGCGGCCGATAGACCGGCCCCGAACGTGAAATCAAATGTTCACCGAACTCGCCTCTCAATAAGTCCATTTTTACGCGTGCTGTGTGGCATGTGGCACCGTCTTGTTGAAAACACTTGTGTCATGCAAGTCGAACTCTTGCATTTTGCGTAAAAAAGTCGGTTATCATACGACCATAACCGACTGTTGTCCTTTTCAAAGAAGTAAGGCCCAATCACACCTTCGGATCAATGGGCGCATCAGACACTAATTGGTTTTTTGGTATTTCAAGGTTTTAGGAGCTCCAAGTGCGAGAACAGGAACAGTTGGTATGGTAAGGACTGTAATGCTGAAGTGTAAGAAAGCAGGCTGCATTAAGCGCAACGTTGCGATCGACCACAACAAGTGGGAAGTAAGGCGCTTGTACAGACATAATGCGTGAGTATGAAGAGTTTGAGAAGCGGTCTGACAAAAGTAATGGTTGAAAATTCTACGAAAAGAGACAACTCACAGATGACTTCAAGTCTGTAAATAACTCGTTGTGGACATAAAGAGGTGATTTAGTAACTGATTCTTAGAGTACTGGAGGAAACCCTTCTCTAGCCTACTGAATGGCAGTAATAACGCAGCACCAGCAGATGGCGAACCTGCTTCCCAATCGATGACGACGGAACACTTGTTCCGAATAGCATTTGCTCACAAGGCGACAGAGGACGACGGATTACCGACCAAACTTTTCAAATATGGCGGTAAGCAACCTATACGGAAGCTGCATCAGCTTCTTTGTAAAATACGGTCGGATGAAGACATGTGATTCGAAACTAATTGTGCTCTGCGCCAAAAATCGTAGAATAAGCCTCCTCAATAACGAATATGAGCCTCTATCGAGAGTTTTGTGTGAAAAACTAAAGCCCGCCGACAACAAACTGATTGAATCGGTTATTGTTGTTGTTGTTGTGATCGCTAAAATATTCCCCAGAGTACATTTTGGGGAATTTTGCGGGAGTGACAGTCCTTGGCCGGATATTAATTCGGGTCGTTTCGGTGTAAAGAGCCAACTGTAGCGAAAACTATTGGACTTAAGTCGCCCCTTCCGACAGGCATACCTTACCACGTGTATATTTTTGAACCCTTAAACCGGAGATGGCTTGGACCTCATTAGTGTGGCTGCAGACCTGGTAAGTCAACCATTGACCAGAATCTCGAAAAGACCAGTGAAAAGCGTTTCTTCGTCGATTTTAAAATTGCCGTCGATAGCTTCTACGCTGCTGTGTCCATCTGTTCTCCCAGGCTCAAACGAAGAGAATTTCTATCGTTTAAGTCAAAATTAAATTCAAAATTAGATTTTACGATGATGATCTTATACTTCACAAATTCTATACTCGTACTCATGCTATAGAACATCATGTTTTCTGAACAAATGGAGTATGGTTTTCTTAGTGCGTCGAGCTCATCTACGACGAAAATCAATCACATGAACATTTATATTGGTTAGTAGCCATTTTTAAGCGCCTAAAAGTATGTTAAATTAGTGGATTTCCATTTTTTACTTCTCTTTCATGTTCACAGCTAACATTGATTTACAGCTGAAATATTTTACGTAATCAAATTAAATAAAAAAAATAAAAATATTTAAACTCTATGAGTATACCAAAATCGTTCTTTGATTGATAAGGAGCTCTATGAATTTAGCTTAAAATGAAATTTCATATTTTGTTGTATTTTATACAAAACTGCTTTTTTTTTTTATTTATTTTTCCAATTCACGTTACCTTTTGCATTTAAAAATATTTTTTTTTTATAAAATCACATTTCTTTTCCGTTTTAAACTAACAGAGCTTTTTACAATACGGTGTCAACATGTGGATGGTAGCCGGTCTCGTCGGCTTTGTAGGTCACCTTAACGGTTTTGCCTTCAGGAGTTAGATGCTCATATTCACCAGTTACAACCCATGTGTCCTTACCCTCGAGATTACCCTTTTGCTCTGCTCTGATATGGTTATCCAGCTCGAGGGTGTAGTAGAAGTTCTCTGGGTTGACTTCCCATTCGTTTTTCAAAACATTAGCTTCTTCATTGGCCAACACAATAGCGAACAGGCAAGCGAATACAATCTGAAATATGATTGAAAATTTAGTTTGGTGCATCATATTTTTTATATAAATTTTTTTAAGGATATTTCTGGTTTATTTCGGGAACATTTTTACTCTGGACACTTACGACGAGTTTCATTTTCTGTGATTTAGCTTGAGCTTATCGGACTGCACAAAACACTCGACTACAATTTCAACTACTTCCAACTGCAATATTTATTTGTTTCCCCAAAATAGATAGAAATTCGCTAAATTGCGCTAAAAATGAAAATTACGGGCGGATCGAAAAAAAAACTAATAAATATTTGTTGACTGCAATATTTCCAGTTTCCAATTTAATTATAACAATTTATTGCCGGCTGTGTTGGTGGTTTGTTAGAATATTGCATTTCACTGTCATCATTCACGCTTCCTCTTTGCACCGGAAACTGGTTTTGTGAAATTACCGTTGTCAAACTACCCGACACAGAAGATGCTTTAAAAAGCTTTTGTGTAGTTGAAGTATTGCCGAAATTGAAATTTGCATATCTTTCTGCCTAATTTTGAATACATAATTAAAGCAAAGGGAGTACCCAATCAGGCAAAGCAATGAATACTGAGAACCTGATTGTTTGTGACATGAATTCTCGCTAATAACACGAGTAAGTGATATGTGTACAATTACAGCGGGTACTTAATCGATTAGCGCGCCAAGAGTGCTTGTAGATAATAAAGATAACATTTTTTTTACACTAAATAATTATAATTAAATGAAATGGCGGTTTATTTGAAATTTTTAATTTACTGGTTTCTTACACCAGTTGGCGGTAATTTATTTGTTTTTTTTTTCTTTTGTTTTGAAGAACGCCAGAAAGTAAAAAATATACCGGATGTTGCTATCTGGGAAAAGATTTAATTGTTGTGCTTTAATTATTTGTTTTTTTTTTTTTAAGAAAGCAAATCCGACTGACCAATCTTGCTTAGACCTCTTTTTAAATATTAAAATACATAAAAATAAATATAAAGAAATCTTTTGACTCGTTAAAACATCAAGAGCGTTAACAATGATGTTAGCGCCGCACCGTGGGCTGGTTTGGAGTCGTAGGCGGTTAAAAGTTTTTTTTTATTAATATTATAATAATCTCACGCATAATATACATACATACATACATATATATAGACCTTTCTTTTGCATTGAAGGTTACTGAAATTCGAATATTTTGTATTGATTTTTAATGTAAGTGAAAATTTGGGATCAATAAGTCAGACAGCAGCGTTAAACCTCGTTTAGTACTTTCGATTTAATAAAATAAAAATTAATAGCAGGCAAACATTGTGATTGTTATTGTATCCAACCCGCTTACGCTATTATAGCCAAGTTAATAATATTTCCTCCTTTCGCTTCTTTGTTTTTTCGAGAGAGGACTTTACTTATCTACTGTCTACTCAGTCTAACCGACTTCAAAGTTATGACTGTCATCCGAACCGAGTGGGAGCCAAGTCGCGAATGAGATGACTGTTTGTTTGATAACAGGAGATATTTTGAATTAACCTCTTTCGCTACCAGACCCATTTTCTCTATCAAGTATCGGCGCAGTTGTGTATTCTTATTTTTTCCACCAGTAAGTAAAAGAGGTCACGCGTTAAGGAATCATCTTGTCTAAAACCTTGTTTGTTATCAAATATTTTGGATTTCCCAGTCGTATCTGTTCGGCAGGGTTACCTAATTCAAAGGTAGCTGCCTAGAGGCAGCTGCCAGAGACATGCAGTAGAAACTCGAAGAAGAGATTGATCCTCTTTTCAAGGGGTTTTTCAGGCATGGTGAATACCTGCTCAATAGTTGTTTTGCCAGGTCTAAAGCCACATTCATAAAGTACAATCAGATTTTTGACGGTGAACTTTGATATTTCTTCCAACCCGCTCGGTGGGAGACTTATTCCAATGTTGTTGTTGTTGTAACCGAAAAATATTTCCCCAAAGTAATTTTTGGCGAATGTTGCGGGAGTGGCAGTCCTTGGCCGGATAAAAAGCCGGATCGTTCCGGTATAAGGACCCGACTGTCGCGCCAATTACTGGTTTTCAGTAGACTTTCGTCTCAGTAAAACAAACTTTCAAAAAGAACCTAAAAATATGAACAAATCGAAAATGAATGAGAGTACCCCATCGGCGGCGGCGGTACCAGAGCGGTTAGCACTGCGTACTGCCATTTGGAAGGCCCATGTTCAAATTGAAAACCTGGTACTACCAACATTTAGAAAAGTAATTTAAGTAAAATGTTAAGTTAAATTTTCTAATTACGGTCGCCCATCGGCAAGAAATGTCAACACTCCAATTGTATTTCTGACATGAAATAAAAGCTGCTCGTAACTAAACCATCAGCCGTTCGGAGGCGGCTTGTATAAACTGTAGGTCCCTCCATGCGTTAGAAAAACATCAATACGGAAAACTATTTTCCCAAAATTTACAAAAAGCGGAAGTTGAAAAGTAATATGAGCAGGTTAATCATACGCCAAGTCCAACCCCAGATTGACTTGTTTAAAGTAAGCATCACATTTATATAGACGGAAGTATAAAAGCGAAACTCTAGATTCCACTAAAGAGACTCTAGAAAACTTGGTCAACAAAGTAATTAGGAGGGCGGTGGATGGCCAGGGTTCGAATCCAAAATTATACAAAAGTAATTTCTCTAGTTACAGTCGCTCCTCGGCAGGGAATGTCAAACCCCTCGAAGTGAGTTTCTGACATAAAACAAAGGCAGCTTAGAATAAACAGTAGGTCTCTCCATTTGTTAGAAACACATCAATACGCATTCCACTCATTTGAGGAGGAGCACGGCCGAATATCGCTTTATCGATTACAAAGCGCCAATTATTGAATTGATGAATAACTCATCTGTAGCAAAGACTATGCATCAAACGATCGATCATTTCTATCAAATTAATAAATATAAATATGAAGTAAGTACGCTTCGCTCATAACATTTCTATGTGTCTAACTTAACGCTTAAATGTAGGCAATTTTTTTTAGTAATTCTCAACTTCACAAATTTGCAATTTTTAAATTCATACAATGCACCCTTTTGTTATCAAAATATGTTGACTAATATATATTAATATGTAAAATTGAAGAAGCGAACCACCAAAAATTGGGGAGCTACTCGCAACTCTGCTATTACCGAGCTCAGTTATTAAATCGATTTTCAGAGATATTTTCAAAAACTTAGGTTTCTGAGGGATATAATTAAATTAGGTTTTTTAATACTAGATAAAACTATTGTAAATATGGAGCAGAAGTGTGTGCAATACCTATGCAGTAAAAAGCCCATGTGGAGCCTGGGTTCGCGTCTAAAGGAGAGGAAGCTTCAAGGATGCGCTGAAGTTCAATTGTAGCAACTGCTCAACAGTGGTCTTTCGACTAGGGTATCGCAATATTAATTACAAGCCTCGTTATGTTCATTACTAGACTTGTAATACACCCACCCCCTTCCCCCCCACCCCGCGTGACCTCCTAATATATATTCTAACGTTGACTCTCCGTGTTACCCCGCACTGCTTATACTCGAGAATGCTACCGTCAGTTAACCTAAGGATGTCACAAAGATTACAGAAAATATTCTAAGGGTTAGGTTTAGAGGACATGCATTAGGAGTGCCTTGTCTCTCCACTTGGAAGGTGCTACTTCCCAGCTGGTGGATGCCTTTGTTGATGTAAAAATTGCAGTCATTAAATGTCTCATAACCAATGAGAGAGCAAACTGTATAAGTTGATCATCCAACTCGTTCTATATTATCCCGCAGAAGCGTGGCAAATCTGTCGACGTTTGGAGTATTCGAGGAAAAAGTTTGGCGAAGGATTTGTGGTCTTCTACATATTAGGGGTACAGCATATAGTAGACGAAAGAACGTTGAGCTTCACGAGATACATGGCGACGTTAACAAACTTTCGGGAATCAAGAGGTTATGACTGTGGTTAGGGTACTCAGTAGTCATACCTCTTGGATACATTCATCATGGTATAATAGGTATATGTGTAAAAAAATATATTTGCTTATTATTTTTTTTTTCAAATAATCCATTTTCATTGTATCGGAAAAAACAAATTTTTTCAATTTTGGGTTGTCTTTATGATAATTAAATTTTTTACATTTCATCCAATCTAGTTTAAATTTCACTGCAACCTAAAACTCTAAAATATTTAATTGTATCATAAAAGCTCACTAGTTATTTAGTAAATTGATGGAGTTAATTAAAATCAATTTTTTTATTATTTATCAATTTATTATGATAATAATCTTCATCCTTTTACTTTCCCTTCAATAAATAAACGAAAATGACAACCAGTTTTTTTTTATCCTAATGACTTAGAATGCATTTATTCGAAAAATAGAAAAAGGACCGAGTTTAAAAAACGAAACAATCAATTAATAAAAGCACACAACATTTGCTTATTCCTTGGAGGGGTGAGCTTCGATGTAAGCGATAGCCTTAAGGATGGCCTCTGGGATTGGTGGTGGGGTTGGTAGAGGTGGGTTGGCACTCACAACTTTGTAACCGTTCTCATCAGCGACGTATTGAACGGAGACAGCTTCACCTTCGGGGGAGGTGTAGGAGTATTGACCGGAAGCGACCAAAGCATCACCGCTGAGGACACCTTGTTGTTGGGCCTTGATGGAGTTGGAGAATTCGTAGTTGTAGCTGTAGCTATCTGGGTTCACTTCGCTCTCCGAACGGATAACATCGGCTTCTTCGTTGGCGTAGGCAACAGCCAACAAGCAGGCAAGGACGACCTAAGTAAATGAGTTGAAGAACGGTTTTGTTAATTAGCACAGCACGTACACACAATTTTCATTAGCTATAATTGCTAAAAATGTTTTCATTCGCTTGTTTAATTGTGGTTAATTTATAAAATTTTTCAAAATTATTTTTAGCATTAAATATTTTGGAGAAATTTTTTTGCGATATTTTTTTTTTTTTGGTTTGATTTTTTTTTTCATTTTCAAAACACTTACTAAGAATTTCATTTTGAGAAATGTTATGTGTTATCACGTTGATTCGTAATACAAAACTGATATAGAAGTCTGCAATTTCATGGGTTTTTATACAAATGTGCTAATTACTATTGGCATGCTAACCATCAAATTTTATTTAAATTTTTTCTAAAAACAAGTCACTAATGAGTGTCTGGTATATTGATGACACTGAAAATACAAGCTCATCGCATATTAACGCTTTGTTTTCTAGTATTTAAAAAAAAATTGTATTGTTTTTGTCTTCGGTAACTTTTTGTTTGAAAAAAAACAAATAAAAAATAAAAAAATTTGCATTCAAGTAATATACATGTTTTACTGTAGAAGTCGTTATTTAGGAATACATATTTATATGAATGTATGCTGAGGTACATATGTCTATCACTTGTACTATCCGCTGGCGAAACAACTCAGACGTCATATTTAAATTAATTTACATATTTCAAATTTCAGTTAAGGGCGTTAAGAAGTGATATGAAAAGTGAGACTGTGATTTCCTCAAAATACAGTGTTTAACATAAAAGTGAGTACATTTGTTATAATAAAAATGTGGGTTAGGTTAGGTTGAAATGGCTATCGATTTGTAAGCAAAACTATAGTTTGGTCAGTATAGGCCCATCCTGATGTCACAGTGTTTTCCCCCATCACTAATCTTCACTATCTTCCCACTTCAATTTTTTTTTTATAAATATCATTAGCTACTTTACCTTGATATCTGGTATTTTAAAAAGAATCGATTAAATCAGCATCTAGAGATCGAAGCCGCTGCCTAGGACTAGGCAGTACCATGGAAGATGAGAGATGGTTTTTTAAAGCTTCTACGGTATGTCCTGAAGGGGACTTCCGGGCTGGCCACATATGGTCCTATCGACTAGCGATCTGATAAGACTACTAAAACTTTGGAGATGTTCAGTTTTCCGAGGAAGTATATTTCGTGGGGCATTTTTTGGGTCCATATCGGCCAATTTTGGTTCGAAATTCTGCAAGTAGCTGTGGGGATACCAATGTGTTCCTTGTCGGGGAGAATCTACTTGGTTGTACCCCGCTTAGCAACTACGTCTACCTTGAAATTTCCTTCTACGTCTCTATGACCAAGAACACAAACGAGCGATAATCTGTTCTGTTTGGTCAACTTCTGAGGAGATCGGCGACATCGCTGCTTGATTATAGCTGAAAATATATATGTATCTCCTTGCTCGTGATGTATGTTTCCACAATTTTAATCTGAAGTACACTGCAATAATCAGGTGGACTGAAAGGCAGCTCGAAAACTGGGTGTTTTAAAGAGAAACCTTCTCCACCTCTTCCATTAAGTTTCTATCCATCTGTCTTAATCTCAGTACTGTAGTTTGCGGTATCGAAGTTATTGCTCCATTTCTCCCTTTAATGTATAAGCGGTCCCTAGAAATGCAAGCGCTGCAGTTTGGAAAACCATTAAGTCTAATTATATTAAATTTCGAGAATAACATTTAAGGCCTTGAATTAGAGCGAAAAATTTATCCTAATGTCATTGATCTTTGAATTCTATCTAGAAGGTTATCTCTCTATTCAGCGCAGGCCGCCGTACAGACTATATATATTATATAATAATATCATATTACATATTTTATGCTATAGCAATATCAATAAGAAACTAAAATATGGAAACTATAAAATGGAAAATGAAGTACAACTTATGAAATAAAATATATCAAAAATTTAACAAAAAATTAGAAAAATACATAGAAAATAATATATATAAAATGCTTTAAAACCAAATTTAAAAAAAATTAAAATAAAATATTAATAAAGTTAACCAAAACTGAAGAAGTATATAGAAAACAATGAAAAATAATTAAATAAAATGCAAATAAAACAAATAAAGAATAAATCGTATATAAACCAAACAATTTAAAATTAAATAAAATTATTTTCTAGTAAATAAAGTAAAAGAAAAAAAATTAAAACAAAAATTCTCTAGAAAATTAAATAAAATAAAAAAATAATAATAAAATAAGGTAGACAACAAAAATAAAATAAAAATCTCGAAAATTGAGTAAACTAAAATAAAATGAGAGCCAAAACCGAATAAAATAAAATCAAGTATGTTTATAGTAACGAAACTAAAGAAAATTAAAATAAATTAAGCAAACCAAAATAAAGATTATTAAAATAATAGTATTATAGTAAATGAAGTAAGGAAAAATAAGAAATAAATAAAATATAAAAGGAATAAAATCAAATGAAATTAAACAAAATATAGCAAAACTAAATAAAATTCAATAAATAATAAAGAAAGTTCTAATTTTTAGACAGAAGAATCTAAAAGCTTTTGAATTTTAGTAATTTCTTTCGAGTTGCACGCAAAAACTTGTACGACTTTGAGTAAAAATGTGTTGTTAAATAGTTTATTACCTTTCATTCAATCAGAGCAAAGTGGTTCAAGCAGATCGACAAGAATTTTCCCTCCAAAGTCAGATTTGAGTTCCACTGCTAACGTACATATCGCTCATTTACGTCTGTAGTTCAATGATCTGCCATACGTTTTTTCAAACTACCTCGCCTTGTAACAAAATTGGGACCGTATCGTTATACTTCATTTGTCTTTAAACTATTAAGATCTATTAAGAAAGCAGTTACGACGGTTTTTTCTGCTCAATTGGTGAGTATGGTTACCAAGCTCGAGGTTTCTTGTAACGTATTTCGAATGCTACAAGAAAAGTATTTCGATTCGAGAATGTTAAAATTAAGTGAAGTCCTTACACTTGTCAAACACACCATTCGAAAGCCACAGTTTACTAACAATTTCTACTTGTTTTGTAGTAACATCTATTTTCTTTCCAAGAAGTTATATTTAACAAATTTTTTATGGTTTATGTTGTAGTAAAGTTTTAAAAGTTTCCTTCAAAATGTAGTTTCAAAATATTATATTTGTAAATTATAAGCAAAATGAAGAATAACTCATATTATTGATTTATTCTTAGAAAAGAAAACAAATAAAACTTAAAAAAATACTTCACCATGAATTGATTAAAAAACATGACAAACGAAATGTTAAAGTAGTGTCGTTTAGATATCCTAAATTCCACTCAGAAAAATTGCTTAATTAAGGCAATTACTATATATCACTGTATGCTAATTCGCATATATAAATAATCAATATCGTTTATGTGTTTATCAATAGTGAACTTGTTGGCATTTATTTAATTTAAGCAAAAACAAAAATATGTTAGTCATAGTTAAAAAAATAGTTCTTCCGAAACTAATAAATCAAGTATAAAAATAACAAATTCATAATGTACATGAACATTAAAAAAATTGTATCGGTTTCTATCTCTATTTAACTTAGCCGCATTAGCAAACATATAAACAATGATTCCGTTTTTTTTTAATTATTTTGTTTGGTATTTTTTTTTTGGATAATAAATTAAGCGAACGTTGATTTTACAAAACATTTGAAAGAATATTTAAATTATATTTTTTTATATATATGTTTAAAAAATGCTATAAAATAAAACGAAAATAAAAAAAATTAAAATAGATAAAATTAATTAAATACAATCAAATATATTAAAGTAAATTATAATAAAAAGAATAAGGGAAGATAAAATATAAAATAAAAAATTTTATAAACAAATTAAGTAAAATAACATATAAAAAAATAAATAAAACGAATAAAACAAAAAAGTAAATTAAAATTAATAAAATATAAAACATAAACTATTATCAAATAAAATAAAAAAAAAGAAAGTATAATAAAATAATATTAAAAATTAAATGACAATAAGTTAAAATAAAATAAAACAAAAAAATAATAAGAAATAGGAAATAATAAAATGAAATCACATAAATAAATTAAATAAAATACAATAAAATAAAAGAATAGAAAATAAAATCATATAAAACGAAATAAAAGAAAAAAAATAAAAAAAAAAACAAAAATAAAATGGAAGAATACAAAATAAGGTAAGAAAAATAAAATAAAATAAAATAAAATAAATAAATAAAAAAAATGAAACAAAATAAAATAAAAGAAAATTATATAAAAAATAAAATAGGATAAAATAAAATTATATAAAATAAAATAAAATAAAATAAAATAAGATAAAATAAAATAAAAAATAATAAAATATAATCAAATTAAATTAATGAAATAAAATGAAATAAAATAAAATAAAATAAATTAAATAAAATTAAAATAAAATAAAAATAATAAATAATTTAAAGTAAAATAAATTATAATAAAATAAAAATTAAATGAAAAAATAAATTAAAAAAGAGAAACAAAATAATATGGAAGAATATAAAATAAGGTAAAAAAAAAAATAAATAAATTAAAACAAAATAGACAAAATGAAAGAAAGTAAAATAAAAGAAAATTATATAAAAATTAAAATAATATAAAATAAAATTATATAAAAAAAGAAAATAAGATAATATATAATAAAAAATAATAAAATAAAATCAAATTAAATAAATAAAATAAAATGTAATAAAATAAAATAAATTAAATAAAACAAAAAAAAAAATTAAAAAAAAAATAATAATTCAAAGTAATATATAATATAAAAAAATAAAAATAAAATGAAAAAATAAAATAAATTAAATAAAAGAAAAGAAAATAAACTGAAACAAAATAAAAAAATGAAATAAAATAAAATAAAATAATTAACACAAAATGAAATAAATTGAAAAAGAAAAACAAAAATTATATGGAATAATATAAAATAAGGTAAGAAAAAAAAAAAAATTAAAAAAAATAAATTAATTAAAACAAAATGAAAGAAAATAAAATAAAAGAAAAGTTATATAAAAATTAAAATAAGATAATATAAAATAAAAAATAATAAATCAAATTCAATAAATTAAATAAAATACAAAAAAAAAAAATAAAATAAAATAAAATAAATAAAATTAATATAAAATAAAATAAAATAAAATAAAACAAATAAATTGAAGTAAAATAATTTAAAATAAATTAAGATAACGTAAATGAAATAAAAGGAAACTTTTAAATTAAATTCTGTTACGTCAAATGAAATAAAATTAGATTTATGGTTATCTCAATGACACTGTCCTCTGTGATGAAT